TAGAAGCATTATTATCCATGTACCTTGATAATACTAGCATCAGAAGCTTCTCTATCAGCATCATAATTATTTGCTGTCATTTCCCTGAGAGAAAACATGGATAAAAAGATTAAGTGTAATGTCCATAAACTCAGCAAATATGTGTAGCATTAGATCCTGCATTAATTTCATTTTGATGTAAGATACTGTGTTTGTTTCAAAATCATAGTCCTCTTTTTATTTTGATTAAAATCTTACTTTTCAATTTGGATAATTACATAAAGTTTTAGTTGTTTCTGCTCAGAGTCTTATACTGCAGTATCTTTTTAATTGATTAATATCAAAAAAGTTCTTTCAAGTTAAAATCCAAATCCATTTGAGACCGCAAAGTAAAAATGGAACCTAAATTTGACTGAAGAGTGTTCTCTCAATGATTTATCATGTACAAGAATCATTTGCAAAATCTTTTCATCTTAACTAGTTATACCGATTGCTTCAACAATCATAGCCTGATTATAGCAGAAACCATTGATGCTAACAATCAAGCACACAGGCCGCCTGCACTTTTGACCAATTCCATTGCTCCTATATTCTTGTGAATACAGACACAAGCATAAACTCAACAAAATGCCAAGTCAAAGGCTTGCCATAATCAGTATGAAGATTCAGATACCACGAACTTTAAGTAATAAAACAAAATCTGCTTGAAAACCTATCTTCGTAAAAAAAAAACGCAATGATACAGTTATACTAGCATCGCGATCATAACATATTTTGGCAAATCAATGGCATTTTTATACAGATAACTTAAATTCGACGTAACATTGCATCTCCAATGCGTAAACAAAAACCAGATGCGGAATTCACTATGATAGATAATAAAGTTCAATTTAACTAAAAAAAAGCACATATTTGGTAAAGCAAATTTATCAGCAATTAATCAACTAAGAATTCATCATTCATCGTAAGTGAAAGAATCGAATCGAAATTAAATCCAGTGTTGAATTTCACGAACCCTACCAAAATTTTGAAGAAATGATTCAGCAAAAGATTCCGTAGCGATTGTTGTAGAGACTTGCTGTATCATGAAACTGAAAATCAGAATAGTCAAGATGACGCTGCGGCTTACGATTATATTTAATTTAATTAACTAATGTCCAGTTGTTCAACACTCAACAGTTGGTGAATTACAATACTTTCCCTGGACTATTCATTAATCTACAACTTTGGTCTTAAATTTTCATTTGTTACATTTTAGATCCAATTTAAAAACTAATGTGTTGCCCCTAATGGCGATTGGTGTTCTTTCTCAAAGGTGTAAACTTGGTAGCAGCTTCGATTGTTAAGTTGTAATGAAAGCATATATTCAGTAATGTACATTCTAGATTTTGGATTATATGTTTTATAGGTTATTGTCATTTTAATCCAACGAAGTTTCGCAAAAAAAATTATGAGGTCCATGAATTAGTTTTTGTTATTAAACTCAACAATGACATATTAATAAAGGGAAGAAAACCTTTATTAACAGGTTACCATGTATAAACTAACCAAATATGAGGTGATGTGGCATATTTCATGTCCACATAGACAACACCCGTGAGATGACATGACATTCAACACTCAAAGAACTACATAACCGCCTCCATGTCTTACAAATCATGGCCACCATCTGCCGCTCAGCTAGAGTAAAATTGCGGAAACCTCAGTTTGTTACCACCCTCGACATCTGTCTCCTTCCTTCCGACAACCACCATATCATTAAATTTTGACAACCTTTTCCACCTCTAGTTTTCTTTCTTGAACAAACCTAATTCAGTGCAAAAAAAAATTGGATTATCACACTACTCAAATTCAGACAATCACATTACTAGTTGATGTAACTTATCATGCCTAACATAACTAATTAGAACCGGTAACATTACTAATGGATATCAAGCTTAACATAATCAATTCAGAGTAACTGTAAATAGATGTAAGTTATCAGGCTTAAGATATATGTAACTTATCAATTATATATAATCAATTAAGAGTGATTGTAACTTAAAATCCATATTGTTGTTTGATTTCGGGGTTAAATAAGCACCAAAAGCCTTATCATGGTGCCTTAATTTGTTTGCATACCATTGATAAGCTTTCAAAATCCGGTAGTTCGTTATCTTTTCATTGCACTTGATATATATATATATATATATATATATATATATATATATATATATATATATATATATATATATATAATCAAACACTAGATCTCTTGTTTGTAAAATAATTATGTGCATATTAGGCTACAGGGAGTCATGTGCCATGAATGCTCGTTAAGGAGGTCACTATGGATATGAACACCGCCCCCTAGCGCGCTAGGGGGCTCGCTATCCTGCCTTCGCTAAGCCCTTAACGAGGGAGAGAGAAAGAAAGGCTTGCACGTGATTGGTCCTTTCCAATTTGACCGGATCTTGATTGGTTGTGATTATTTTTCTTTTTCTTTTTTTTAATTTTTATTTCAAAACAAAACATATTAAACTCCTCACACTACCACTCCTTAACTTTTTCAACATATATATGCTATGCTTATGTGGCAATAATAAAACATATGTGTCAATGTGTTAGGAATACTACCACTCCCTCCACCCTGATAAATGTGTATCTCCAAAAAACTATAATCAAATGCATTATTTTCTAGGGGTGGGAAATCGAGTCATCGTGTCGTACTTTTGTCTGACATGACACAACAAAGTTTTATGTAACACGAACACAACACGACACGATGTCATGTTTTTTTTTAATTAACACGAAAACGAACCTATTAAAAAATGACAAACACGACACGACACGACAAAGATAACATAATATAACAATTAGTTTATTTAATTAATATTTAATCATACATAACACAACAAACATGACAAACAAATGCTAAATCGTGTCAATTTCGAGTCGAATTTTGAACATGAATACGACACGACACGGCATCGTGTTTTTTACACTTGACACAAACAACGACCCGAACACGAATTTGAATTTCAGTTTCGTCCCAATTTTGTTTCGTATCGTGTATTTTTGTCGTGTCGTGTCATCAATTGACACCCGTATTATTTTCCATTACTTCACCATTGTTTAAAATATGGATAATGGATTTCACCATTATTTCTAGGCTTTAAAGAGGATGATGTACATTCGTGTTCCCTGTGACGGCTCAATAAGAAATCGAAATCCAAGCCTATTCGATTTCTATGATCATATGTTTCTTTCTAAAATTGATACCCATTGGAGTTGTACTCTCATTGTAGATCCATTAATGTTTAGGGAAGGAACCCTCTAGGCCTCTACACCTCATAAAAAATTGCAATAATTAATGAATGCATATATGTGCTAACACTTATTTGGATACAAACAAATCCCCTTTCACGTTCAGAACAACCAACATACACGGCCATTAAATCCATCGAAGATCTAGCTTCTAAGTTCCCCCTTCTGTCTAGGTTCGAAGATGATGATGATTATTCTCATAATGACAATGATTGTAGCTAGAAAAATGACTAAATATGAATAAAATCAATTAGGGATGAGCATATGGACCGGGGAACCGGAACCGGAACCCGATGGAACAGGTCAGGCCGGGACCGATACTATAATTTCGTCAATTTTTGGAACCGGGACCCGGTAAGAACCGGTCGTTGGAACCGGCCCAAAACCGGGAACCAGACCGGATAACTCACTCAAATTTTGAAAGTTGCATAACTCACTCAATTTAAGTTTTTTTGACCTGAATCTTTTTCCTACACGTAGTTTAGGTTTTGTAGTTAAGTTTAGACTATAAAAACGTTTGATTTGGTTAAAAATTGAATGAGTTACAAGCCCCGCAAGGAAGCGTGTCAAATCAGAATTTTTTTATGTTTCATCAATTAAATGTAATCTGACTTTGTTGTTCAAATGTGCATAACTCACTCAATTTAACTTGTTTTGACAAGAATCTTTTTCCTACATGTAGATTAGGATTTGTAGTTAAGTTTAGACTATAAAAACGCTTGATTTGGTTAAAAACTGAATGAGTTACAAGCCCCGCAAGGAAGAGTGTCAAATCAGAAAAAAAAATTATGTTTCAGCAATTAAATGTAATCTGACTTTGTTGTTCAAATGTGCATAACTCACTCAATTTAACTTGTTTTGCCCTGAATCTTTTTCCTACATTTAGATTAGGATTTGTAGTTAAGCTTAAACTATAAAAACGTTTGATTTTGTTAAAAATTGAATGAGTTACAAGCCCTGCAAGGAAGGGTGTCAAATCAGAATTTTTTTATGTTACAACAATTAAACGTAATCTGACTTTGTTGTTCAAATGTGAATAACTCACTCAATTTAAGTTTTTTTGACCTGAATCTTTTTCCTACACATAGTTTAGGTTTTGTAGTTAAGTTTAGACTATAAAAACGTTTGATTTGGTTAAAAATTGAATGAGTTACAAGCCCCGCAAGGAAGCGTGTCAAATCAGACCGGTTCCAAAATCGAAAACCCGGCAAAAACCGAACTCGGAACCGGAACCGCCGGGCCGGTTTGGTTCTTGATTTTGGCCGAAGCCGGTTCCCAGGTCGGGCCGGTTCCAGCCGGTTCGGTCCGTTTGCTCATGCCTAAAATCAATAGTTCATTATCCTCAAATAATTATCATTTTTAATTAAAAAATGATTTTATGTTATTAATATTTAATAGTATACTAAATATACAGCCCAGTTTTCAAAAGCATAAAAATGGCACTTGGGTTTGGTAGTTGAAGTGGATAGTGTTAGTTTATGAAAACGATTTAACTTTTTATTAATTTTGATGTAACAACTAAATATATCTTTAACTTCTAGTCCCTACCCGACATAATCTAAAGCTATCATACTACATAATGTTTAATAATCGTACAGATAGGGGGATTTAACATTACTACAACCTTTCAAAAGCTTGATGGCTCATTCCACATGATATAAACCACATTATATACCAAATAACTCATTATAAACCAAAATAATGTTACAAATATAACCATCATCCAGTTTATATCCCTCCATCAAAACAAAGGAGCTTTTTTCCCTTATGACTTTGTATATAACCAACACTACGTATATAAACCAAACCCATCACGAGTCATCATAAAAACCTCGACTTCTCATCTCAATCAACTCAAATCCTACAACTACAATATTTGGGTTCTGATGAGACTCTCATTACAACCCCATATAAAATTGGTCCCCGAATCATCATCAGTACTGTAGTCAGTACTGATGATGATTCTGGGGCCAATTCGAAAGTTCAAAAGAATTCCGTGTGATCGAAGAAGATGATTGTGTTGCAGATGGATCGCTGGTTCTTGAAGTTGTAGATACTGTTTTTGATGTATTTGAGAAATTTATAAGGCCATAACCAGATTCGGTTGTGGATGAAGGATGATTGGTTTTTGATATTTTGGGACACGTGTGTTTTCCAAGATAAGTGATTTCAAAAATTGATGAGTCATCACTTGATCTTTGAACTTGTTTAGTTGCACAACAACCGTGTGTGTTTCGGTATGTGCATCTATAATATTCTCTGCAAATTTGAGTGAAAAAATAAAGACGTTAAGTTACGTACGCATAACATAAGGGTAAAATGGTAATTAACTTCATATTTTAAGGGGATACCTGGGGTATTTAGCATTAAGAATTTCCTTTTGCCCGTATTTCCTCCACATATAACCATCATTTGGGGGCACTTCAAGTCCTATCTCCAGGCTCACTTTCACTTGCTGCTTCCATTTAACAATGCTACTACTGTTACTCTTTCTGCATACCAAGTACCAACATTTTATTTTTATCTTCATATCATTCTTTAATTTCTTACAGGGTCAGAGACACACATATGACATATCTATGTACCTTTGATAACTTACTTTTTCCTAGAGCCATCTTTGTGATTGGAATCTTTGGAGTCAGAATCATCATTATGTGGTCTTCCACTTAAGGACCTTTGGATTTCTGTTGTTCCAACATACTGTGAAAGGGCCTCATCATCAGAGTTGGGGATGTGAGTTGACACTTCTTCAGTTTCATTAGAAGAAGCAGGCAAATTCAGATCTATCTCAAGCTTCTTCTCTTGTTTTGTACTTTTTGTTAACTTGTTATACAAACAGTTGCTCTTCAAGTGATGATTGCCTGATGAGTTTATATTCATTTGCAAACAACTGCCTAAAGCTTGATACATACAAAAGAAAAAAAAAAAGACTATGTCAATTCCTCCATGAATAGCCATCTAACTGGAATTTGAAAAATTGGAAACTCTTTTGATTGTGAGTTAATAAACAGAATTATATGACTAAAGAGTTTAATACTACAACTTTGTTTCTGAAACCACTCAAGGATATAAGAATCTGCAAGTGAAACTGGATCATATTGTCTCAGTGATCAATTCATACAAAGTATAAAAAACAGAACTATCTAAGGAACGTAGGAGTAAGAAATTTGTTTGATTTAACAAAGTATCAATTCAATTCAAAAAGCTAATTCATATTTACTAAGCAAGCTTCTATAAGTTCAATCAAGCTATAAACAACACAGAAACATTCCCTCTCTTAAACTAGACACTATTGTAAGGCAATGTAATTGGTGATTTTCAGATTATATACAGTAAGGTTACTTTAGAAAAATGGCTTTCCATCATAAGAAGCCAACGATGATACGTTTAAATCTAACTTTCAGTTCAAGCAGAAGTAAAACCAGATTCATCATCATATGATCATAGATGCAAATATAACTACTTTGCTGCAAACATGTAACCGCAACTCAAGTTACAAAAAATCACTAAAATAGATGCTAATGAAAATGAAGATTGTGTCACCTTTGAAAGAAAACTAAGATACGTCGGTGGTAGAAGTCAGAAGATCCTCGTTTGAACCTCCAAGCCGGAGAAACAAATAGTGAAATTAGAAACGGCGGAGAAGGAATCCGATGGCCGGAGAGAGAATCCGATCTTTAGTTGCAGGAGTTAGAGATCCGGTGCGGCTGATCGAAAGATGCAAGGAGGTTTCATACCTTCTTCTGCTACTACCCTCTTTATATTGTTTGACTTTGATTAAAACCCCCAAATTGAAGTTGACAATGAAAGTTTAGGCATGTGACTTGTTAATTGTGATTTAAGGCCCATGGTTCAATAATCTGAATTTGGACAAAAGAAAGACTAACAAGTGTGTAGCATATAAAACAATAATTTTTTGGAGTTGAATATGAAAAAAAGTACAACAAATTTTCATCACCTATTCATATGTTTGAATTGAATATTTAGGATCTTTAAGAGAACACATAATTTATGATGGTCAATTCGGCTATGAAGATCTTTTTTTTTTTTTTTTTTTGGCAAAACATTGTTAATAATGATTTAAATTTTATATCACTCTTTGACGAAATTATAAGGTATAAGTTTCTTGTATGTAGCCTACATCAAGAATTTATCATTTTGTTATGCTCAATATTTCTCTTTTAAGATCATATCCCATTAACAATTTCCTTGTTTTAGTGTTAATCGGTTTTCTTATATTTATGGGAGTTCCATATTTTATGATTATTTCAATCAATAAAATAAATGGAAAGGTATAATTTACAATTGATACATTATACAATTCAACAAAAACAATGAAGTCTGAAGGAATGTTTTACAAGCTAAGAGTTATCTTAAACACGAGCTTATAAGTTAATGTCGAACAACACAAACTATGGTCATATAAAGTATCACTTGGAATTCGTTGGGTATCTTAGTTAATAAACGATGTAAATGACATACTGTTGTATATTATAACTTACAATAGTGATATGTTGTCGTAATAATGAGCGCCACTCACTTAAGAGAAAGGCCACTCACGTAAGAATACGAAATGGATATGGATAAATAATAATAAATATTTTTAGTGTACAACTTTTATTATTTACCAAATATATAACAGCGTAAAATGTTATATGTTATTTATTTGTCAAGCGTGGTGTTATTGGAAGGTCTAACAGCTCATGTCCATAATTTGGTAGATTAACCTTAGAGATTGTCTACACTTTATAGTTTATAATAACGTCTCCTTCTTAGGCATAATCCAAAAACTCTATCGTTACATGAATGTTGATTTAATTGTTCTAATTAGATCCATGACTTTGGAGATTATAAATTTTAAGTTAGTTATTTTTTCTTATGTTGCTATTGTAATATGTATAAAAAAGTTACATCAACCCCATCAATATATCTAATTAATTATAAGTATTTAATTAAATATGTTTGGGTTACTTAACAGGTTGGCATGAAAGATTTTTCTAAAGTTCACCCAATAGTACAAGTATAAATTAAAGACATGTTTAGGAATATGCTAAATGTTAACACTTGAAACCCTAATTTGCATCCCTCCTCAACACCACAAGTCTCTTAGTAGACGAGCAACATGAAAGGAAGAACAAGAATAAACATTTTCTTTATTGGTTGGTATCTAGCAAAAGTTCACATCGATGATGTGGATACCAATATCAATGATCTAATTTAATCATGTCTATTACATCAAGGAACCCTACCGATCAAGGTAAGGATTCTAAACACCATATGGTTGATGTTTTTGGTAATCGAGTTGAACAAATTTGATCCGCATAAAACTTTTAGTATGTAATTTTTGTTGTGCTCATATAATTTACATTAAATTGTTCTGTAAAGAACCGTATTATTCCTAACAATAGTATAAGAGACTAGTTTGATCTTATTGAATTCTTATTTTGGTACGATTCATGGAGTTCATGAGTGGGGCCAATGGAAACAAAACATTTAACCTTTTAAATATTTGGATATTTTATACTTTTTGTGGTTTGGTTTTCACTAACTAGTTTTAGTATTAACGTTCATGAATTTCACATGCATGAAATTCATAAAACAAACCATAAATGTTTCTTGAATGTATGAATTGATTATGAATTACCACGCTCAAATTTGGATTGTTTGGTTATCGTGGTTGTTATTTTTTATCAGGACGGTCCGTTGATTTCGAATGTCATGTGCGAAAAGTAAAAATAGGCCCTTAATATAATTTTTTTATATGTATGTAAACAAAATTTATTAATACTACTAAGGTGTCCTAATAAATTAATATGGATGAGAGTGAAGTAGGAAAATGTGAAAAGTAAAATAAAGAAAAATGGGAATGAAGAATAAAAATGTTTACTAAATAGTAAACACTTTGAAGATGAGGCAAGAAGAAAAAAGGGACAGATCAATAAAAAACTATTTGAAGGTTAGGTAATAAGAATTGAACCTTAGACATTAGTTAAAAAGGTAAAATTTATTTATTCCAGACTCATCTAAAATGAATAAGTATATGCAAGGCTCCTAACCGGCTGAACAAGATATGTTTATTGAAATAATTTGTGTAAATAGATATATACTAACATATTCACTATATAATTTGGTTACACTCAAGCCCTATTTTTTTCGGGGCCTTGTGTGGTTGCACACCCCGCACACCACCGGCCTTCTTTTTTATTTAATTAAATTGTAATCCGCAATTTTGAGCCAATTATTGTAATATAAATTAGGTTTCTTGTTGTATGTAATTTTCTTTTCTTTGTTATTGTAAGATATAGCAACGAAAAGAGAGAAATGCAAAAAGGTAAACACGAATGGACCAAAATATAGCCCAACAACAACATGATAGCTTTACGACCCACTACATGGAAACCTAGTTGGTGTCTTAGCCCACTTGATGGGTCTCAACCTAGTCGATATTCGGAATACACTTGAAAGTTCATCAACCATGACCCGTTGCAACCCACCTTGAAAAGTTGTCCTACGCGTTCTAACAACGTTTTCCCAATTACTTCTCTGACAGTGATGCCATTTTTCAGGCGACCTCTTCTCAGGTGAAATTGTAATTCCAAAAATGGTTTCGTCCCTAGAATTTGACCAAAGCAACTTTTGATGGCTCAAACTTTATTTTAGGATTCGGCTAAACAATGTATTTGTTATATTTTGTTAACAAGTGTACTACATGGTTCTCCACTGTAAAATAATATATTGATTATAAAAACCATAAAAACTAATCACAAGTTTGCAAACAGCTGATAAATATATTTTGCAAACAGTTAAGAATGTACAACAGTAATATTGAAAATGAAAAACAGTGTAGTTAGTATATTAATCACTTTATATTAATCAAAAGTAAAAAAGTTGGTATTAACTTGTACACTTAAGAATACCAATTATACACTTCCTAAAATCAAAAAAAAAGTTGCTATTAACTTGTATATTAATCAAAAGTAATGATAAGACTATGATGTATATCTCTAACCTCATAACACAAAAAAGATTGTCATCTCAAGATTATGTCCGCACTACTTCTTCATAACTTACCTTAAGAAATACCTACCATTCAACCACTCATTATTATACTCTTAAATTTTTAATTAAAAATAATGCTAAGAGATAGAGAGAAAGAAAGAAATAAAGAGGAAGGTTGATCTTGTTATGCAATATTACCACCAACACATTTCATAACGTCACCTAAGCATAACACACAATAACATAAAGAGGTAGTGTTCACTTGGGTTAAACTTGTCCATATTAGTATAATGGACCATACCGCATAGCCTAAGTAATAAGATCACACCCCCCTTCCCTCTCACAATTACAGTAACATACACACACATAGTCACATTCGCATCCTTAAAAAAATACATAAGAGGTCCATGTTTAAAAAAAGGGGCAAATATGACATTACTTAAAAGAAAAAAATATTAACAGTAATGGTTGGATTCTTTTTGAGTTTTGGTATACGATAAAATGGTTCATTTTGAACATTTTTAAAACCTTGGAGTTAGTGTAACATCCCAAAAACCAGGGTTAAAATTTTCACTTTTTAAATAATATAATATCTAATTTTAGTAAAGTTACAACCATTTGTTCATAAACCATTATTCCGAAATCAGAGTTAATAAGAAGATAATGCGGAATCTCAAATCATAAATCTGTTGATATGTGTGTACACTCCCGCCTTCACAATCCGATAAATACATGCAAAATAGTTAATCCACAACTGTAAGCACAAAACTAAGTAAGCTCCCCAAAATACCACATATAACACAATATAAATAATCAGCTAACAACATGACATGTGGACTAACAGCACACCTGACATGTGGACTGTAAGCACAACTGTAAGCACAACTGTAAGCACAACTGTAAGCACAAAACTCTGGAGACTATCAGCAGTCCCAATGGGCTAACAACATGACATGTGGACTAACAGCACACCTCACGGGTTATCAGCAACCCTCGGGACTATCAGCAGTCTCATGGACTCACAACAGTCCAGGAGTTGTCAACAACTCGTTTCACATATAACAGAATCAACAATTAAGACCCAGTTGGTCGACATGCATATACTACCACACAGGCAAGTATAGTGAGAAGACTCACCTCGCAAATAATAGTTAACACACAACATCTCACATACCAGGTAGACAGGTACAATGAGACACCTAACATCAGTAAAGAAGTACCCTCTCAGTCTAAACCCTAAAACCCCAAAATTGACCAAGAGTCAACCATGGTTAAAGTTAACGGTCAAGGTCAAAGTCCACTTCAGCAAGTCGTCACGTCGTGGCCTCCTATTGCCATGCCGTGGGAGAAAATGAAAAAAATAGTCGGACATCCCCCCATTCGCCACCCCGTGGCCTCCATTTGCCACGTCATGGGAACTGGGTCTCAATAGCTTAATGCATTAAGATGTTTTCTTTCAACCTCAAGAGCTCCAAAGCTCAAATCCAGTCCTTCCCAAGGCATTGATGGATAAAGTTTCCAACTTTACCCATTAAGACATCCAAATGAGTCTAGATCCCTAAACCTAGATCCTTAATGACAACTATAAGCATGGACTTAACCTTTAAGCTCTTAATAACCAAAGTCACAAATCCATAACTTCCAGAAGGACTTCTTACTTCGATTCCAACATAAAAATCACAGCTTTATGGATATGCACTCCCAATACAAGTCTAGTTCTCAATCTAGGTCAAAATAGGGGCAAAAAGACCAAAATCTTATACATGGATCTCGACACACAATCAAACTTCACATCCAAAAGATGTAGTGACTAAAGGACCAAGATGAGCTATAAAGTTGCAAACTTTATCTCTTCAAACCTACCCAAAATTGAATATGAACCAAAAAATGCAATAAATCGTAGATCTATGAAGAGAGAACCAGAAAGGTGGAAGCTTTATACCTTTTAAAGCTCCACAAGATGCATGAGGTGCAAGATATGAAGTGATGAACTCTTCCAACTAGCAAGCACACCACTCCATCTTCCAAACATGCAAAAGCCAAAGCTTCAAACTTCAAGAATCACCACTAATACAACAAGATTCACTCCAAGGAGGCTAGGGTTTTATTTGAAAGGGATGGAAGCTGAAAAGGATGCCCTAATCCTTGAGAGTAGGTGCTTAAATATGGAGAAAACCCTAAAAATCATGGGCTTGGGCCGCCACAGCTGCCACGTCGTGGCGACCAACTACATGCGATCAAGCATAAGATACGCCAATTCGTGGTACTCCAGTCACCATGTCGTGGAACCTAGTTTTTCCCAAAAGAAAAAAATCAGATCTCTAATCGCACCAAGCCCTCACTTGTTAAATTATGGTAATGGGTTGTTACAACTTTCCCCCACTTAAATTAGATTTCGTCCTCGAAATCTGACTAGATTAGAATTTTAACTGCACCAACACAATCCATAAGATCCTGCCAACCATTTCATATAATTAACACGTCCATAACGAACTCGGGGGACCATCCAGAACCCAACTGATGCCAACAACTACCCAGTCACTTGAAACACTCAACTGCAATAACAACCTAACTCATAGCAAAAACCACTTAAACTAAAACCAAAAAACCGGTCTACTAACCATCCCCATCAATGTACTTCACAAACCGAAAGGCCAATAGTCTAGGCACTAGAAACATAACTATCGGCTAACAATCATCCACTCGTCACACATACCCCCAAGTCCCTAACCAGGGACACCGTTTATTAGGCGCATACAACACTCAAAACACTCCGATCAAGACTTCAACCCATTCCAAGCTCGGAGATCGCCTAAAATCCCCCAACTGTACACATGGATTTCTAATAAATTGGGACTAACCAACTGATCCCACGAGCGAAACCATGGTCAAAACCCACTTGTGTGACCTCCACGCTCCCAACAGCTCAGGTGTAAAACTATTATCCGAGACATCCATGAGACTCATAACTACCCGGATCACTGCACCTTGGTATTTAACCCAACATACAACCATCCCTATGTCAATCTAATCCACTACGGGTTATCAGCAACCCTGGGACTATCAGCAGTCCTGGAGCTATCAACAGCTCCAAAAATACTAACAAAAACCATCAGCTACTAAGACTCGACTAGTCTAGCATGTGCCCAATTATGACATAGGTAAAATAGTGAGAGATTTCACAATAAACCTTATCATAAAACGGACACGAATCCACTAATAAGGATCTCAATAACAGACTACTAGTACACCACCATGACTTTTCCAGTATAGTGTTGCAACTGGGCCATCAGTTGCAACACTATACTGCTCAAGAACCCGCCAATGCCACACGATTAGCAAACCAACACCCGAGTCTTTGCTATAAAACTACCAGCCCTACTCACAAATGTGAAAACCACGATGGCTCACGGCACGCCGTGCCGTCATCCAACCATTGGGATGAGGAGCTCACGGCTCATCACCGTTCCTACCATCACCCAACCACAAACATGAAGACTCATGGCTAATCATCCAACGGTCTAAAGACACACCGTCGTCATCCTATTGACCGGTAAGGACCCAGGCAACATCTCACTCAGCAATGTAAAAATAAATGCTAGGGTTACACTTTGTAAACCCTAATGACCCATAACTTTCCACATTCCCATGCTCCATGGATTTAACCTCCATGGACTATCCATGGGTTATCTCATTGGATTAGCCCATCTACATAATCATGGATCATTGGCCCACACTACAAGAATGATTGATTTACATAATCAACCCCCATATATTTAATTAGTCTCTTTTGACCACAAAATTAATTCTAAATTAATTCTTGATCAATACTAATTAAATAATTTCATATTAATATATTTTACTTGTAATATATTAATAAACCATAAATAACCTTATTCTCAAAAGTCCATCCTATCAAATTGCACTGGTGAAGGCAACCCAAAAGGACCATGCTACTATCGGGCCAAGTACATCCCAGTTATAGTT